ATTTGTATATAATATTTATATATATTTATAATTTTATATTATACTTATTAAATATACAATATATCATAATATATATTATAGTATAATATAATAGTATAGTATAATAGTATATTATAGTATATTATACTATAACAATTTTTGATACTTTATTATATTATTTACACTTTATATTATTATACCTTAATATATTATATATATTATATTATTAATATCTTATATATTATATATTTTATATAATTTTATATAATATAATAAAAACTATATAAAAGGAATTTTATTATACACTTTAATATGCATTTATATTCATTCACATTAAGTTAACATTTACACAATTTATAAAATAAAAATTGAAAACCTTAGTTAATTTGCACATTATTCAGTTAATCTATAAAATAACTGATATCTACACTTAATAACGATAACATTTATATACATACATAAATATATATACATAATATATATATACATAAATATTAGAAAAATCGATAAAATAGAAAGACAATAGAAGGGTTTTAGTTATATTTTATACCTTGTAGCGTGTGCCGTTCGATATTTCTGCGTAGCCCTTCGACGCCGGCGCCTTTCTTCCCTTGAAAGGGTTCCCGAACCTGGACCACCACCACCACCACCACCACCACCACCGCCCACACCATTGACAACGACACCGTGTCCACCATTCGCCATAGAATTTTCTCTGTCCTCCGATCGAAAGTTTTTTCAATATCTTTATTACCTTTTTTATTTTGTTTGTTTATTTGTTTGTTTATTTGTTTGTTTATTGTTCTTGGTTTTGTTTATTTCTTTTTCTTTTTTTTTTTTTTTTAATCAAAAAGGTAGTAAGATGTCTCTTACCTTCGGTGCACTTGAATATTTTGCTTGCAACAATCCGTGATTGGTAACAATGCACCTCTTTCCATCATCGAACAATTGTATCTGAACATTTATAAAATTATTATTAATAATTTTTGTTTTGTTTATTTGTTAACTTTATTCTTTTCAAGATAGTAACAAAAATAACTGTCATTCTAAATTGTTATTCATTTTTATTCATTTTTTTTTGTTCTAAATTTATTTCTTCAAACTTTAATTTTAACTAAAATAACTATCATAGTTTTGTGTTAATAATTGTTTCAATTTTCAATATTAATATTAATATTTGAGACACTTTATAATACTATGAAATATTATATTTTCATAATTTTACATTCATTAAATTATTATTCAATTTTTGTTGTTGTTCTAAATTTATTTCTTCAAACTTTATTTTCAACAAAACTATCTATCATAATTTTGAAATAATAATTGTTTAAATTTTCAATACTATTTATTTTTGAGACACCTTATAATATAAAATATAATTCCATAATTTTACGTGGATTTAATTATTATTAATTTTTGTTTTGTTTATTTTTTAACTTTATTCTTTACAAGATAGTAACTAAAATAACTGTCATTCTAAATTGTTATTCATTTTTATTCATTTTTTTTGTTCTAAATTTATTTCTTCAAACTTTAATTTTAACTAAAATAACTGTCATAGTTTTGTGTTTATAATTGTTTCAATTTTCAATATTACTATTAATATTTGACACACTTTATAATACTATGAAATATTATATTTTCATAAGTTTACATCCATTAAATTATTATTCATTTCCTTTTTGTTCTAAATTTATTTCTTCAAACTTAATTCTTCAAACTTTACTTTAACCAAAATATCGATCATAATTTTGTGTTAATAATTATTTAAATTTTCAATACTATTAATTTTTGTGACACTTTATAATAATATAAGATATTATTTATATAATCAAACTGATAAATATATCGTAATAATAATAAATAATCATTAATCATTTATAACATTAATTATTTTCATCATTACATCATAACAATAATTGTTCTGATACTTTATAATTCATTATTTAAATAATTCCATTATCAAATATTTATAATATACATTAAACAATATTACAAATAAATAAATAAAAAAATGAATTAATCTAATGAATTATATTAAACGATAAAAGAAAAAAGAAAAATCAAACAAAAATATGAGAGAAATGATCGGAAAATGACCTCGAGGTAAAAGAGTTCGTCAAATATTTGTAGACCAAATTTCTCATGGGGTGAATAAAATCTGTGGCAAATGCCATAGAAGGGTAAAAAAAAAAAAAAAAAGAAACAAATCTCTAGGGTGTCTTAAATTGTGTTCAAACGTAAGGATTCTTTTCTCAAAAAAAAACAAAAAAACAAACAAACAAAACCTAACAGTTAACCTGATTCGATCGTGTTGAATTCGTTGAATATTTCAACAAAATTCTAAACTGTATAATTCAAAAAGGTTTACACGTAAGGTTCATTCGTAATGTCCTACGTTGATTTTATTTTATGTCTTTCTCTTTTAACTTGGAGGGTTGAGAAAAAAAACGAAAGATATAGGTTCGGATAGTATTTCGTTAACTATTCACCAATAAAAACAACCCTCCGATTCTTTCCAGTAAACAGCCAATTTCTATGTTCAACTGTACCCATTTTTGTTCAATTATTCACGTATTACGATACTGATTTAACATAGCATTCCATTTTCTCTGCCTTTTTGTTTATTTCATGTTACATTAGTTTAACATTTAAATGATAGTGTGTCAAATCAATTTTTATTTGCAAATTATCACGTAAAGTGTAATTATTGTATAACAAAATACATTTCATTATAAAATAGAGTAAACGAATTGAATAAGTATTTTGCAAATAATATTTAAATTTAGTTAAATGAACAACTCTTTGTAATATGTCAAATAAAATTTAATAAAATAAATAAATAAATAAATAAATAATGATCACACACACACACGTATTATCGAAAATAAAACTTCATAATACATTTAATAATAAAAATGAAATAAATGAGTTAAATAAATATTTGGCAACTAAAAATAAAATTTAATTAAATGAACAATTCTTTGTAATTTGTTTAATAACATATGCTTAGAATATGTCAAATAAAATAATTAATTAATAAATAAATTAACGATTATCACGCACATAATATTAAATATAAAAGTTCATTGTAACTTGTAAATAACATATCTTTGTAATGTGTCCAATAAAATTATTAAAATAATTAATTAATAATATCAAATGTTATAATAATGTCAAATAAAGTAAATAAAATGATTAATTAATAAATGAATTCATAATAATCGCACATATATTATCGAAAATTAAAGTTTCTAATTCGTTTCATAGTAAAACTGAACGAGTTGAACAAATATTTTGCAATTAAAAATAAAATTAAATTAAATGAGAACAATTCTTTCTAATTTATTAAATAACATATTTTTCTAACATGACAAATAAAATAATAAATAAATAAATAAATAAATAAATGAATAATAATCACACATATTATGAAAAATCAATCACCTGTGTGTATTTGAACACAAACCAAATGAAATTTGACGAACAAATTTGATAAAACACTTTCACTGTAAATTTTTAATAAAAACAAATCACTGTGTTATAATTAATAATAATAATATATAATACACTGATATACACAATTGACACAATTTTGTTAAAAATAAACGATAAATGATAAAGATTGTTTTAGAAAATAGTAGAAGAGAAATTAAACTGGACCAGCAGAATCTCAACGATGAGTAGTCGAAAATGTTCACATCGAATACTATCTGTTATCTCTATCTATCTCTTCAACCCCTAACAGTACTCCCACTACCCCTATTTCCTTTATCAAACCACGCCTACGATTTCACCCTCCTTCCCGATCTCCTATTCGTCGAGATAACGCAGCATCCCAAATGGTTTCCAATGAGAATTCAACGATTTATTAAACGTAAACGCCTACTTTTTCCTTACAATACGCCATTATACCTTTTATATATATATATATATAACGTTAACAATTATTATTATTATTATTATTATTATTATTATTATTATTATTATTATTATTATTATTTCTGTTTTGTTTTCACCCATAAAACAATATCATTTAATTGTTAATAATATCTGGTTTTTATTGGTTCAAAAGTTTCTTTAAGTTTTTATAGAAAAATTCCAAAAATTACCTTTTAACTATTTAGTATTATATTAATTTATATAACATTATTTTTTGATTAAAAAACTTTTGTAGATTTTTATACGAAAATATCAAAAATTACATTTAAAATGTTACCTTTTAATTATTGAGTATAATATTAATTTAATAGTATTATTGTATATTATATTAATATAATAATATTATGTTAATTTAAATATTATCTTTTACCTAGCTAGTATAATATTAATTTAATATTATTATATTAATTTAAATGTTACCTTTAAATTATTTAGTATAATATTAATTTAATAGTATTATTATATATTATATTAAATTAATAGTATTATATTAATTTATATAATAATATTATATTAACTTTAATATTACCTTTTAACTATTTAGTATAATAATATATTAATTTAAATATTACCTTTTAATTATTTAGTATAATATTAATTTAATAGTATTATATTATATTTATATAATAATATTATATTAATTTTAATATTACCTTTTAACTATTTAGTATAATATTATATTAATTT